GATCGAAAGTCCATATAGAGAATGGTAAGGACAGCCGAGAAGATCATAGGAAGCTTGTTCCCTGGTATTCAGGATGCTGCTTATAAGTGCTGTGTGCTTAGAGCTCAAAGCATTGTTAGGGACCCCACACATCCATTTTGCGGTCTGTTTCTGTTGCTCCACTCTGGGAGGAGGTTTCGAAGTATTTATAGCAAGACTACCCGATTCTGTAATAGCTTTGTTCCCTATGCCATCCGTCTGGTAAACAAGCAAGATTCGTTTTTCTCGCCATGTACATGTATATATCCGAACTAGACTGTGTTGTTTCTCTGTGTCAGGTATATTCATAATTCTGTATTTATTTATTTTTGTCATATTTACGAAGTCTATATTGGAGGTGGTGACCCTTTGAGAGCTGTCTGCAATGAAATTTCATTTTAATGTATGCCGATTAGTGTACATTCAAACTGACAATAAAGTTATCATTCTATTCTGTTCTACAGTGAAACAGGATTTGTATTGTTAAGGAAGTTTCCGCCTGCCATGAAGGGGCTGGGGTATTTTGTAGCAGCTGGACAAACCACATTAACAAACCACTGTTGCATAGAATCTTTAAGAAATTGCTCATGACTTAAAATTTTTCATTTTTATTGGGAATAACCTTTGTTCAGATTTCAAATTTAATGCTGAAGTACAAATGAAGTAAGTGGTAGAAATGATGGAAAGTCTTTTACACCCAGCTCATACACCAAAACAGGCAACCTTTTCCCACAGTCCTATTAGCAAATCTAATACTATATGTTTGTGTTTAAGAGAATATTGCACAATGGAAAGGTATTGAATCTCAACACAGGAAGCCCAATTTGGTGACATTTCCTCTGTAATCAACTTCTCACCAGTTCACAAAGCATTGGGCTATAAGGCAACACCATTACAAGGCCAGTTTCCTTTTCTTTTTAAGGAGAACAGACTCTGGGAGACAGATGGTGTCCTTTCAAATAAGTCATTATTTAGCCATAAAAAGGCTAGACAAATGGCAGATGAGTGTTTGTACCCATCCAAAAACAATACAGAAGGATTTTCTCCTGCCAACCCATAATCTTTAAGCAAACTCTTTCCTTCCATTCTTAGACTTAGTTTTCCTTCTTTTTCACTCAGTTATTATTGCATTTGGTTTATGTATTTTTAAGTTTTTAAAATAAAGACTGGCTTAAAGACTCTTTAAGAGAACAACTGGAAAGGTAGTTAAATATCATAGGAAGATTCTATTTTCTGAGACCTACTATCAAATCTTTACTCAGGCCACACAACGACCATCAATATGTCAACACAGTCCCATAAGGTGATGCAATAGAATAATCCTAGGAATGCCATTTTGGGCAAATGCATGGCTAATCAAATAAGGGACAGATATTGTTTATCATAATGCTAAATTTGGGGTGTTGATAACTTAATGATAAGTTGGGGCGGGTCTTTGCTTGGCACCAAATCATAGCAGACAGTGGCATAACCTTAACTTAGAGCCTGGACAATTACTTGTCTGAAATGGTATAGGCCAGGTTCTCCTGCTTGAGCAGGGGACTGGACTAGAAGACCTTCAAGGTCCCTTCCAGCTCTATTCTGATTCACTTGATTCACCCTGGTGAAAAAACTACCAACCATCTCTCTCCATCATGAAAGTGAGGTGGGGGAAGTTCATGGGGATGCTTAGAAAGGGAGATGCTCAAATGACAGCCAGCACTAATGGGGAGGAAATGGGATGGAACTTCATTGGTGCTCCTCTCTTCTTACTTGCCCGTTGGGTACTTCCAAAACAGCTCTACCCTCTTCTTCAAAATCCCTGTGACAGGAAGGAGGAGCAGAGGGGGCAAGCAGCAGAGAGTCAAAAAGTGCAGATATGGGAGTGGAAGTGCTGGCAATAAGCTATCAAGAAGCACAGCTTTGGCACTGTGCCTACCAGTTCCTGTGGCTGGTCATGGGGAACACACAACTGGGAACTGGCCTGAGCATCATCAGAAGGGAGAGGCAAAAAATACTACCACCTGTCCCACCAAGAGCAGCAAAAAGGAACCCATCTATTGCCCAGGTAGGTGTGGGAACTATCATTGCAGGGTTAGTCTTGGTCAGGGACCCCATCTATGTGCTCGCATGACAGTCCTCAGAAATAATCAAATCAAATCAAGTAAGTAAAATCATTTTTTTAAAAATGGCCATGCAAAACCCCTTCCCAGCAGGAGGAAGAGGAGAAGACTGCAATCAACCACAAAGCAGTGAGGGAAGTCAGAGAAGGAAATATTAAAAGGGCAGGAAAATATATTTTTCACCAAAAGGATTTTTAAAAGCATTTTTTTGAAAAGCAGAAACCAAACCTGGCCCCAAATCTATCTCTCTGCCCCAAGCAAGAGCCAGCCCTATACAAATGCAGATGTAAAACCATCAGGAAGGTTGGAGCCAGGGAACTCAAGAAGACAAAGAAACTCTTAAGAGTCATTAGCCCAGCCCCAGGAAAGCAGGAGATGACTTTTGGGACATAATAGGACTAAACCACAGATACTAAGGCCTAGAAAAGCACTCAGACTCAGTTCAAAGTTCATGCCACAGGAAGAGGAAACTATTCCAAACAAAAAGCTAGAGAGGGTATAAAAAGCTACTGCCCATGCGCTCAGCCCTCCTTCTCTCCTCTGCTCTTTCCTGAAGAACCATCTTTCTGTTTCTTCAATAAACTGTAACCATCTTCCCAAAGCAGTCGCCATGTTGCTTATTTATTCCCGGCTTGGATGAACCAGGATGAAGACTTACTTCTAACAGTAGAATCAGCAAGTCCCCAAGGGCTGAACAAAGCTCTCTTGCCTGGCTTGAACCAACCTGCTGTACAGGCTGTGTTTGCCATGTGGGAAGTCATCCCCCCCAGAGAAGGAAATATTAAAAGGGCAGAAAAATATATTTCCTCAAAAGGATTTTAAAAGCAGAAACCAACCCTGCTCCCAAGTCTCTGTCCCAAGTAAAAGCCAGCCCAGTACAAATGCAGACGTAAACCATCAGGAAAGTTGGAGCTAGAAACTTAGGAAGACAAAGACACCTAAAATCTGCATACCCCACCCAAACTCTAGGAGTCATTAGCCCCAGCACCAGGGAAGCAGGATATATAATAGGATTAACCCACCACCACCAAGAATACCAGAAAGGCACACCCAGACTCAGGTCAGAATACATGACACAGTAAATACAAAGCCTGAAACAGGAACAGGAAACTACTTCAAACAAAAGGCTCAAGAGGATATAAAAACCTAATACCCACATGTGCTCAGTCCTTTTTCTTCCTCTTTCCTGCCAGAACCATCTTTCTGTCTGGCTCTTCAATAAACTGCAACCTTCTTTCTAAAGCAGTTGCCATGTTGTTTATTTATCCCCGGCTTGGATGAACCAGGATGAAGACTTTTCTTTCAACAGCCAGAAGATCTGGCAAGGATCACACAAAGCACGAGTCAGGCATTATGTCTCCCCCACAACCGCATGGGGTAACCTGGCTACAGGGGTGGCCAGAGGAGAAAAGATGTGTCCACAGCATCCCCAAGAGAACAGTACCAACCATGCAGATTCCAACTTCTGATCATATCAGTCACCTGAGAACCCCAGCCAAGATTTGGTAAGGCCTTTGGGGGGAGACGAATGTCTGCAACTCCTTAATGTAGTGTTTCTCGAAATTGGCAACTTCAAGATGCACGCTGGCTTGGGAATTCTGGGAGTTGAGGGTCACATGTCTTAGCTGCCAAGGTTGATAAACCGTCTTAAAACATTAAATAGGATTAAAAAAGAAATCCAACATAACATTAAATCCTAATTGGAAACAATTCCTTGAGCGTAATTGAACGTGTGGTTCTGTATAATACCCCCAATTAGATTTTTCTACACAGAGTCTATAACTCAACTTTCTGGAAAATTAGATTTCTAGTATTGATTCATTATATTTTACAGCGTAGGATAATGATTTATGCCCCATTAAGCAGGCATTTTTAAAGTTTAATAGGGATTTTCTTTTTCTTCAAAGAAATAGGTTTACTGTAATTGCACTGATTTTTGGAAAATAGTGTTTTTTTTTCTATTTTTCTATTTGTTTATTTTCTTACCGGTGGTCCATTATTTGCATTCTACGTTTTATTCATTTTACACATTTGTTTTTGTTTCTATTCTTTCTTTAAAGCCTTTCATAAAAAGAACAGTTAAAAAAATTAAAATCAAATGGAAACCTGCACTTCCCTACTGTACACAACTCTCAGAAAGAGGGCTTACAGAATTTCACTGGCTGGGGAATATTAAAAAATATTGATCTAAGTCAGCGGTGTCAAACTGCTGGCCCATGGGCCGGTGGCATCATGCGGAGGCCACGCCCACCCCAACTCCAGCAATGCGGAAAAAAGTCACGATACGTTGCGACAGGTCACGTGACGTGGCGAGTTTGACATCTGTGATCTAAGTGATCAAATTGCACCCTTGGTTTCTATGGAACAGGGAGCAAGGAAAAAAGAAAATCAAGACAGAAAAGATCCAATTTCCTTTGGGTACTGATCACGTCAGTAGCATGTCCAATCCACCCAGACAGATGGTAGCATGTCCAATCCACCCAGACAGATTACCCCAAGAGCATACAAATGTTGTCAAAACTTTGTTTCTCATTCCTGGATTATTCGAAGGAGAGCAGTGTGACAGAGTGACTTTGGAGTGGGGAGAGCCATGTTCAAGTCCCATACAAAATGATTTGAGCTCAGTCACTTCTTCTCAGCCCAGCCTACCTTGCAAGACTGTTGCTATTGACTTACTTCAGGAACTATCTTTATGGAAAATTTGTGGTGCACTTTGAATTCATTTTTAAGAAGAGAAAGCTCAAACTGCACATTGCAAAGAGTTACCATTCTTAGGCTATCCAGAGTGCATATTTTAGGGTTAAAGATTATCGTTCCTTTGCAGGAATCCCCATTTGCAAACCAAGCTTTGTGGGAACCAACAACTCTACACACCCAGAATTTTCATCAGAAAAGATCTGTTTTATTCAAAACAGGCAACTATGCCATCAGAGATTTACAATATACGGAGTGAAGTCCTGGGATAAGATGATATCAAAAAGGAAGCAATGCAGTCAAAGATTTAGAAAAGAGCCTTAGATCAGAGCCCCCCAAAAGATGAAAAGAAAGCCTAGATGTGTCTAAATCACAGCAAAAAGGAGATAAAATCACTCCTGTAAAATCTGGAAAACGGGAGCTCTCTTTTCCCAAATGGCTCTCTATCATTCTCATCTAGAATACATTTTAAAAAAAACCAGCTGCCACATCACAATTAGCATTCCTATAAGCTTTTGCCCTTTGCGAGCGCTACAATGACCTTGTCAAGAAGGTCAGTGTTACTTCCATTACACTCTTAAGGTGATGGGACTGGAGCAATTTATCAAAACATGTTCAGAAGTGAGATGTGGAGCTCAGACTAAACCCATGCCAAGCTCCAGACAGGGCACTTTCTTCTCAACAATGCCAGGCCTTTTGCAACCCCCACTGCTGGAATAACCACAGAGGAGATTGTAAGGAAGTTCTGCAGCAGGCGAAAGTAGAACACGGATATTCCAGGGAGCAAAATTTCATTTCCAAATGGGCTCAGAGCACGGAGGGGTTTACAACACAAAAAGCAAACAGAAATCAGCCGTTCCCAACCTGGTTGCTTCCAGATTATTGGACAACAGCTTTCATTCTTGAACCGGTCTCACTCCCTTGAGATAATAGGAACTGCCTACCGACCCAACTGAAAGCCACCAAGTTAGGAAACTGACTGGAAATACAACAAAACATAGGAAGGAAAAATCAAAAGCAGTTTCCTGTCCCACTCCTTGCAGTCTCTGGAGAACTTCATTCACTCTGCATTCTTGTACTTCGTGAATAAGTTGTATAAAACCCTCAGGGTGGACTTGAGATCCAGGTTCACAACATCTGAGGGATAAACAAAATGAAAACATGTAGTGGTTTTTCTTTACCAAAACAGGCTTTTGAATTGCAAATGAAAAAGGGAAAGCACACCACCATTACGGAAACATCAAACTCTGATGATAAATATCGTATAGGAAAAGCAGCTGGTATTTCTTACATTAATTTTCTTTTCCAATTAATATTGGTTCCTTCTTTTAGAGCCAATATAACTAAGAAAACAGCGAGTATCACATTCACAGGCTTTTCTCTTTTCCTGCCAGTTTCAGAGATCTATAAAGGATTGTTTTAAAGCAGACATGTCAAACACAAGGCCCGGGGGCTGGATGCGGCCCACGAAGTGGTTTCATGTGGCCCACAAAGCCATCCTGGAAACAGTGAGGGAATGGCCCCCGTTGCCTTGGCCCTGGCCCAGGCCAGCGGGGAGCCAATGTACAATTTTGTGGTGGCCATCTAGGCTGAAATGAATTCAATCTTAGCTTCACAAGGCCGTCACATGCCCCTGCCCCCTGGTTGCATGCTGGGGAGGTGTCACCCTTTGTGAGGAATGAAGAAATGGACCATGCCTTGGCGCTTGCCCCTGTCCCACCCCCCTTCTGCCAGAGACCCTCAGATCTATCCCATTCCTGCCCAGGCCCCGACAGGCACCCTTGACGTGAACGATATAGAACTGGCCATGCCCACCCAGTAGGCCACACCCATTCCATCCACGCCCATCCAGTAGGCCGCACGCACCCGCCCCCCGAGGGCAACCGCAATGCTGATGCAGCCCTCAATGAAATTGAGTTTGACACCCCTGTTTTAAAGGATTTTATAACTGGATTAAAATCCACCTATAAAGGCAGTAAATCACAGCATTGGTTTTAGGCAATTATGCTACCAAACTCTAGCAGAGTGGCATAGGAGACTCCAGGCTGGGGGCGCATCAAGGCTGTTCCCCTGTCTTTGTGACAATTTCACTCTTTTAGGTACATATAAAAATGGTGAGAACATTAATATTCAACAAGTGTTGAAATACACTTACTGTACTAGAGAACTTGGTAATTTTTAGGTTTGGAGCTTTGCTAGCAAGTTGGGGGTGGGAAATGGCTTGACGTTGAAATTTCCAGGCTTTGCAGCTTACTATTTTGAATTTATTCTTATAAAATGAAGAATAAGAAGCAAGAAGCCGATCAACCCCACATGACAAAACAATCTGTTGGCCTGAAAAATGAGCAACTCAGCAGCTTGAAGAAAAAGGATCAAAAAGAAAACTGTAGACCAAAGCAAATTGTACACCTAAGATAAAAAAGTCTGTAGAAAAAATTTCCTCCCTATGGGAAGAATGACAAAGGGCAGGGGAAACCAAACTTCATATGGCTGTAAAGAAGACAAATGTAATGTTCAGCTATTTATCTAACTGCAAGTTCTCAAGAACCAATCTGGGATTTTCATAGCTTTAAGATTCCACAATATTTTCATTCATTACTTCGATAAATAGGTTAAGGAAATGCTTCTCAGATCTGTAGATAATACAAAACTTGAGAGAAGTGGGAGACGGGAACAATTCAAAGTGAAATGGATTTTTTCAATGCCGATGAAACTGAATAGTCACTAAATGAATGCCTTAAATCAAGGGTGACCTGTAAAAAATATTTCTTTCAGAATTAGAATATACTAACATTTAACATTATGGTGTCTGGAGATATCAGGTTAATTTCAGTTTGTCCCCTTGTGTTTACAATAGAATGTTTTTTTTTATTATTATTTTTAGTGCTAGTTTTGGTTTATACCTTTATGGATTAAATTTCCTGTTGGCATCAAGGTGAAATCATGCTTAGTTAATTTCAGTGATAGTTTCAGAATTATCCTAGTATTGGGGATATTTATTAGGGATAAAAATTCTTATTGGCATTAGAGTGAATTTAGGATTAGGGGTTCTCTGGGAAGAAATAATCTGGGAAGAAATAAAGCCTTTATTTTTTTTTTATCTTTAGTGCTAATCTAAGAATCATCTTGGGGCACAGATTGTGTTGAACATTTCGAGCTAAACATTCCTGTTTGGAATGAAGTACAATTTAAGGTTAAGGATAAACATCCTTGATGTTCTCGCTTTTTATTTAATGGCTTTATTTTTTTTTATCAATTTTTTTATTTTTTTTTCCATCAACATATGTTAATTTTTTCAATCAACAAGTCGTCTGGAGTTTGCGAAGCTAATACATGTCCAGTTCCTAATCCTTCATTCTTTTCTCTAACCAAGAATAAAATAAATTCCAAATTTGATAGTAGTCTGTATCTTCTTTGTCTTTCAGCCTCATAGTTAGTCAGTCTATCTCTGCACATTCCAATATTTTCGTGATTATTTCTTCCTCTGATGGCAATCCTTCATTCTTCCAGTATTGTGCAAAAAATATTCTTACTGTTATGGTAATGTGTAGAATTAAATATAATTTCTGCTTATTAGTCTTTTCAGACATAATGCCTAGTAAAAAAAGTTCAGGTTTAAAATCCACTTGTTCACCCAATATTTTTTTCTAACTACATATGTATGTTTTTCCAATAGGCCTTTGCCTTCCCACATGTCCACCAAATGTGATAATACGTGCCTATGTTATGTTTGTTTGTTTGTTTATTTATGAGACTTATATACCGCTTTAAGTGCAAGCACTCTCTAAGCGGTGTACACCAGTAAGCAATGTATATATATATATTTACATTGCCCCCAACAATCTGGGTCCTCATTTTACCCACCCCGGAAGGATGGAAGGCTGAGTCAACCTTGAGCCGGTGAGATTTGAACCGCTGACCTGCTGAACACAGTCAGCTAAAGTGGCCTGCAGTACTGCACTCTAACTGCTGCATCTACTGTATCTGACATATTTTTAAACATTTTTGCTAATCTTGCTGGTGGAAGGTGCCAGTTTAATGGCTTTATTTATGGTGAGGTTTTATGGTTAGTGTTGTCCGAGAATTTTCCAGGAGAACAGTTTTAGTTTGCATGTAATGCTTAGGGTTTAAAATTCCCAGTGGCATTAGGGCAGACAGGATTAGTTTAATACTGTTCTCGTTTGCAAGAAACAGTTGTTCATTTCCTCTAGTCCAGGGGTAGGCAACCTTGGCTCTTTTATGACTCGTGGACTTCAACTCCCAGAATTCCTGCGCCAGCCATGCTGAGGGGAAAGGGAGAGGTTTCCAAGCTGAGCCATGCTGGCTCAGGAATTCTGGGAGTTGAAGTCCACCAGTCATAAAAGAGCCAAGGTTGCCTACCCCTGGTTTAGTCAGACATAAAAACCCACATGGAAGGTCCTAAGTTCATTTTCTGAGAACCCAGGTGTTCAGGCAGTACCTTCCGGTTGCGCTTTTGGTTTCTTGAGCCCGGCATCTTGCATCAGCTCAAAAGCAAAGGAGACATTGTGAACCTGAAGAAGGAATCAGACAACATAAAGATGGGATTAGATTCTTGTAATGGCTAGTAACCCCTTTTCTGAGTAACCAATGTTACGAAAAGGCAAAAGCTTTCATGAGTTGAATTCATCCAATGCAAGGAGAGGCCTAAACCATGCATTCTTCACATTACGCCGGTGATTTTCAACTGTAGGAATGCTGAGATGTGTGGACTTCAACTCCCAGGATTCTCTGGGCTGAGAAATTCTGGGAGTTGAAGTCCATTTATCTTCAAGTTCCCAATGTTGAAAAATAGTTGACTTGGGCTCATCTAAATGGGTTCCCCTTATGTATTGTCTGTTTGCAGGGGTGTCCACTGGGTGTGGTCAAAAAAGTCAAGACGACAGTAGTAATGATGCAGCTGAAGCTCTGTCCATTTTTTTAAAAAAAAAAAACATGTCAAAACTAGACAAAGTCTCTGACTGGGCAGTTAACAGCCTTATTTTTTTTTTCCTGCCTACTTTTCTTTTGGGCCTCTTACATCCAAGGTTGCCTTCCCTTCAGGTAAATATGGATCACGTTGAAAAGGCATTTGTTGCAGGTCACTTACATCACTCTGGGGCAGGGGTAGGCAACCTTGGCTCTTTTATGACTCGTGGACTTCAACTTCCAGAATTCCTGAGCCAGCATGGCTGGCTCAGGAATTCTGGGAGTTGAAGTCCACGAGTCATAAAAGAGCCAAGGTTGCCTGCCCCTGATCTGGGGGGGATCAGATCAGATCAGATATACAAAAGGAGTTAATATAATGAACCAATTGGTTACAGAATACATGCCCTCGGTTCAACTCTGCTTCCAGGGACAGGTGCATGTAGAGATAGTCTTCGACTTACAATGACTTGTTTAACAACTGTTTGAAGTTACAATGGCATTGAAAAAAAGTGACTTCCAACTGATCATCACATGTTACGACCATTCCAGCATTCTCACAATTATATGATCAAAATTTGGGCAGTTGGCAACCGGTGTTTATTTATGACAGTAGCAGCATCCCAGGCTCACGGGATTGCCATTTGCAACATCCCAGCTGACTTTCAACAAGGAAAGTCAATGGGGAAAGCCAGATTAATTTAACAACTATGGCAAAAAAGTCACAAAAGTAGGCAGGACTTAACAAATGGACTGCCTGGCAAATGGAAGTTGTCTTGGCAATGTCATAAAGCACTGCCAATCTGTTCTAGGGTGTCTTTTAATTTCCCACTTTAAACTAAACTCTGGGATTTCCTTGGATTCTCATCCATGTTCTAATCAAGTCTGATCCTGCTTAGCTTCCAAGTCTAGACAAGACAATCTGAGCATCCGTACCAACCATTGCATCTTAATGAAAATACAACGAATGGAGTATAAGTGTTAAGTAACCACCTTGGTTGAGGACTACAGTATATTATAAAGACCCTGAGTTGTCTCACATTAAAATGAGCAGCATATACATTTGATAAATAAATAAATAAAAAAAAAAGGCAGACCTAGGGTTAAATCTAATAATTCTGCAGGATCAATGACATTTATAAATGCATGAGGGTGAACAAAAAAAAAAATGTTTCCTTGTAACAGGACAATAGTTTTCCACAATTGCCTCTCTTTCTTTCTCTCCCTTTTTTTAAAAAAATGAGCTAGTATTAAGGATTATGTTGACACAGCAAGAAACAATTCAATTAAAGTTATCCATAGCAATGTAACTTGGGGCAGTAAAAACAGGGAAAGCCCTCTTGGAATTAATGGTGATTTTAAAAAGTTGATTGATTGCACTTTCCAATTCTTGCTTGGTTCTCAATTCGTTACTGCTGCCTCCTGCTGGTAGTATAAGGCATCGCATCAGCATTAAAGAATTCCAAAGGTCTATGTTCACCTTTTCCGGAGCATTCTGAAAGCAGGATGCATTAAATGACAAAGACCTCCTAGTGCACGGGTGTCAAACTCACCACGTCACGTGACGTGTCGCGACGTATCATGACTCTTTTTGCATTGCCGGCAATCGGGTGGGTGCAGCTTCAGTATGAACAGTTTGACACCCCTACCCTAGCGCCTTTGGTACAGAAATGCATAGTCTCCTAACCTCTGACACAAATGCATTATTCCCCCCACTCCAATATGCAACAGAGGTATTTTGGCCTTGTTAAAAAAGAGGGGATAGCAACATCTCGTTCTCAATGTACAGCAATCAGAATTCGCATCTATGGGGAAAAGTCTGATCACTTGGTGGTGTCTTATCCGGGGACTAATCACACCAACCTAATGAGAAGGAAGGACTCACTGGAGAAGAGCCTAATGCTGGGAAAGATTGAGGGCAATAGAAAAAGGGGACGACAGAGAACGAAGTGGCCGGATGGAGTCACTGAAGCAATAGGAGTGAGCTTAAATGGACTCCAGAAGATGGTAGAGGACAGGAAGGCCTGGAGGAACGTTGTCCATGGGGTTGCGATGGGCCGGACACGACTTCGCAACTAACAACAATCACACCAATCCCACTTAACTTTCATCTGCAGGCTAGTGCTATTGCTGGACGAGGCAAGACTATTTATTTTTAGATCTCCTTCAATGTTGTGCTCTCACGCATGCTACCCATGCACTACAGTGAAGCTACTGGATCTGCTGCTGTGACTCGCCAGTTGCTGAAGTGGTTTGATTTGTAGCTAAGTTTCACAGCATATTTTCACACAACTGCAGACTAGTAACCTGACCAGTCCAGTCCCTTACACGTAGTCTTCAGTTTAACAACTGTAAGGGAGCCCGCTCTTTATGGCTGTAAGTCACAATGGTTGTAAAGCAAGTCATTATGTGACCGACCCAATTTTCTGCAGCAGTCATTAAGTGAATCACCATGATGGTTTAGTGAATCTGCAGTCATTAAGCAAGCACTATGGCTGTTTGAGCAAACGCATTGTCCGCTATGGGGCATTTTTGCCATAAACCAAAAGTAAATGCTGATTTTCAGGAAAAAAACATCATAAATTGCAGTCATGTGACCACAGAGTGCTGAAAGCAGCCCTAAATGCAGGCTGGTTGTTGAGCACCTGAAACATGGTCATGTGACCACAGGGGGGGAAGAGAGTGACCATTGGAACCTCAGAATTGGTTCATAAGTACTTTTGGAGGGTTTATTGTAACTCTGACTGGTTTCTTAGTACCAGTCAGAGTTACAGTAAACCTTCCAAAAGTACTTATGAACCAGTTCTGAAGTTGCTTCTGCTAAGCCAGTGGTTCTTAATCTGGGCGATATTGCCCCCCAGGGGGCGATTTCGTTTTTCAGGGGGGGCGATGGAACAAAAAGAGGTGACGCGGGGGCGAAGGAACGAAAAGGAGCCGATATGGGGGCGGTGGAGCGAGAAATTTTGGGGACACTTTTGAGACTTTTTCGTATAGTGAATCACTGTATATCTGATGGAGGGGGGAGCGCTTCTTTCAAAATATCGCATGCTGAGTGGCTCTGTAAAACATTTTGTATTGTACTTTTTTAGCATGCACTCCAGTTGGATATTATATTTTCTTTGTGTCTTTTTAATTCCTTTTTACAGTGTGCGTGGCTATATATACTTTCCTCGAATCTTAATTTAGTTTCAGAGTTTTCGTCTTGAAATTCTTAGTTCCTGCATTGTGGTTTGTTCTTATGCCCTTTTTATATTTCTTTTTGCATCTTAAATTTCACTTGTAATTCAATCATTAAATGTTACTGTTTTTCTTTTCAGGCATTTCACTTTCTTGCAATTGAATTTTGTTTTCAGTGGTCATTACATTTAAGTGTCTTGAATAAATAAGATAATAATGAAATACATGTATCACGAAGTTTGGGGATAAAGTGACGGGTGGCACCAAACTTTTTTCACACAGTTGAGATATGGGGAAAAGTCTGGAAATAAATTATTTGCATCGATATGTCCTGATGACAATTTTAAAGAAAACAAAAAAAGTGTTTGGATAAATTGAAGAATTATTTCCTATGTTGTGATTGGCAGGTTATGTTGGGGGAGGGGGGCGATGACAACTTCCTCATTGGCTCAAGGGGGCAATTCGTTCAAAAAGGTTAAGAACCACTGTGCTAAGCAACCAGTCATAAGTCAGGACTATCTGTATTCAGGAAACGTCATGGATTGCCTCTACCAGAAGTAGCCAAAACAACAATCAGGCCTGGAAGAGCAGTAGAGAAAAGAGCATTTTAAGGAGGCTGTGGTCTGACCTCTTCTTTAAAAGCCATCGTTAGACTCCACCCTTTTGGATAATCTTCATCCCATCTCCAATCTTCCCTTTCTGGGGAAGGTTGTTGAGAACGTGGTTGTGTGGCAGCTCCAGAGGGTCCTGGATGAAATGGATTATCTAGACCAGGGGTGTCAAACTCACAACACAACGTGTCGTGACGTATCACGACTTTTTCCCCATTGCCGGTAATGGGGTGAGTGTGGTTTTGGCGTGACGCATCCGGCCCATGGGCCGGCAGTTTGACACCCCTGATCTAGACCCTTTCCAGTCAGGGTTCAGGCCTGGACATGGAATGGAAACCGCATTGGTCATGCTCTTTGATGATATCTGGCAGAGTTGGGGTGGTGGTAGCAGGTCCATTCTTGCTCTACTTGCCCTCATCAGTCTTCAACACCATCGACCGTGGTATCCTTCTTGGGCAGCTTCAGGAGTTGGGAGGCTCTATATTGGTCTGGTTCACTTCCTTCCTCTGGACTCCCTCAGTCGGGATTGATAGCAGTGGTGGGATTCAAGTACCTGAACAACCAGTTCTCATTGGATGCAGGCCTGGGCCTCCGAGGCCTAGAATGGACTTCAGGAAGTGGCATCCATGCACTTCCCCTGGGCCGTTCTAGGCCTGGGAGGACTCCTTCAAGACTCTCAGGCCTAGACTGGACTTCTGGAAGCAGTGTGCATTCAGCCAGTTCTCCAAGCTCAGCAAAATTTAGCTACTGGTTCTGCTGAACCGGTGTGAACCGGCTGAATCCCACCACTGGTTGACAGGAAACAAGAGGTTCAGCCCCTGTCCCATTTTGCAGGGTCCCACAGGGTTCAAGACTTTCTCCACTTCTGTTTGAGCTGATATATCATCAATATGCTGATGTCTCGGCCCATGGTAAGTTAAGTGAAGCTGTGACTTCCCTCTTGTGGTGCTTGGAAACTGTTAAAGACTGAATGGAAAGAAATGGGCTGAAACTGAAGCCCGGCAAGACGGAAAGGCTCTGGGTTTGAGGTTCTTTAGTCCCTACAGAATTGCCACCTTTGGTCTTGGCTGGAGTGGCACTGCCCCAGATGGGCCTAGTACAGTGGTTCTCAACCTTTTTAATGCCGTGACCCCCAACCGGTCGTAAGTTGAGGACTACTCAACTGGTCGTAAGTCGAGGACTACTCAACTGGTGCAGCACCGTTTGCAGAATGGGACTTTTGCTGGGCTCAGCAGGGCAGAGACAGCCTGGGCAATTCCTATTGGCTTTTGAAAGCCAATAGAATTAGACTCTATTCAAGAGTCTATTCTATTGGCTTTCAAAAGCCAATAGAATAAAAGGAAGTAGCACAGCTAAGGAAAAGGGGGAAAAAATGGCGGACTGCGTTGTTTGGCCACCCCCGTCAAATGGTCGTTCGACCCCAAATGGGGTCCCGACCCACAGGTTGAGAACCACTGGCCTAGTATATAATCTGGGGATTCTTCTGGACTCACAACTCCTACTCAAGGAGTAGGTGGCAGTCGTGGCCAGGAGGGACTTTTCACAACTGCTGGTTCTGCACCAGTTGTGCCCTTTCCTGGCCTGATAATCTCTGTTCACAGTTACCCACGTTCTTAGTCACTTCCCCTCTTGCCTCCTCTACATGAGGCTGTCCTTGAAAAGTATCCGGAAGCTTCAACTGTTCAAACTGCTCGCATGGTTTTGTGCAGGCCTAGATGTGCACGTGTCATCTCTCCTGGGGGAACTGCATTGGCTGCTAATTGGCTTTTGGATCGAATTCAAGGTGCAAGTTGTCATCTTCAAAGCCCCACATGACTTGGGACAACATCACATTTACCTGATCCACCAGATAAGGGAGGCATGGAAGGCTATAGCTCTCCTCTTCTAGGGAGGTCCATCAAACGTGACCAGGAAGGGCTTCTCCATGGTGGTTCCCTCTGTATGGAACATCATCCACAGAGATCTGATTGGCCCCCACTTTGACACTTTCACAAGGCCCTCGATACCTGGTTTTGCCAACAGGCCTGGGGACCTGGCTTATTTGACTGTTGTCATCAGGAGGATGGGGGGGGGGTTATTGCTTTTTTTATATATATTGGTTTTTTATCCTTATAAGCTGCCTGAAGCCATATAACTTTTCATAAATAAATAAAAGGCCCGATGTAATTACTGCTCACCTTCTGATCCAAACTTTCAGGTGTTAAGAAGAAGTGATGTAGAGGAACAAAATAATCTTCAAGGAGACCCATCAGTAGCACCAAGTAGACGCCATCTGCAAACTGAGAAGAAAGGCCAGATAGGAAGATGAGAATCAAGGGGCAGCATAACTTCACTGGGCTGAAGAACTTCCAGCCAACATGGCCACCACGCCATCGGGAACATTTTGGGCAGGCTGAGTCTGAGCAGAACAGTCAACAGTTTTGGGTATTAATTTGCAGCTAAGAGGGGAAATGTCTAGAACAGGGGTTCTCAACCTTGGCAACTTTAAGACGCGTGGACTTCAACTCCCAGAATTCCTCAGCCAGCTTTGCTGGCTGAGGAATTCTGGGAGTTGAAGTCCACACGTCTTTAAGTTGCCAAGGTTGAGAACCCCTGGTCTAGAAGAATCCCCAAAGTATTCCCAGGTGACCCAGGAATTGATCAATTCCCATTCAGATTTCAGCTGGCCTCCAGCTATGGGAGAAAAAGCCTCCCAATCTTGCCTTTGAGCTGACAGATACTGAAGAGTGCAATGGCACCTGCGTAGAACACAGAGTAATAAGTTAGAAGGGACCTTAGAGGTCCCGTGGTGGCGAACCTATGGCACGCGTGCCACAGGTGGCACGCAAAGCCCTCTCTGTGGGCACGCACACCATTGCCCCAGTCCTAGGCCTGCAGCTGGGTTTTATAAAACCTTTTTGCTTTAGGCCTCCGCCGCCGTGTGCAAAAAAAAAAATAAAGAAGGTTCAATCAATCAATCAATTTCAACTTCTCACACACACAAAAAAAGATCTCGCAAAGTTAGAATTGATTGATTGAACTTTTTAGTCCCATCCAGTGTGCTGTTACCACCGCAGCCACGCCCACCCAATGGGCCAAACCCCCCCCATGGGCCACGCCCATCCGGCACCCGACAATACATAAGTGAGTTTTGGGTTGCAGTTTGGGCATTCAGTCTTTAAAAGGTTTGCCATCACTGTTCTAGTCCAATCCCCTGCTCAAGCAAATGGCTGTCCACATGGAAAAACCTCTCCTGAAAATCTCCCATCCATATTTGGGAACACAAGCAACAAAATAAGCTGGTTACCAAGACAGTTCTAAATGACCAGCAGTTCATCAGCAGCTTTTATTACTGGCCCAAATAGCTAGAGTATAAATATCCAATATTGTTCCCAGATCTCTTACCTGGCTTTCTAATTCCGACACCTCCAAATTCAGCTTGTTTAAGTGCTTGTTTACAAAAGTGATCAAGGACTGAAAAGTGGGGAAGAATACAGTGATTAGAAAAATAAATATCCAACCAATATTCATTTTTTTATAATAATAATAATAACAATAACAACAATAATAACAACGGAGTCTAACTATTTAGAATTCAAAGTAACATTCAAGCCTTCCACTCAATTGTTAGGTCCTGCACAGCAGCATAGTCAAGTTCTCAGTCTTAATAAAAGGAGCAGAAGCTTTGCCTGCGGCACAGTGATACATATAGAAAACCCAAAAATGCTGCCTGCATCACTCTGCCCCTCCCCCTTTTGTACAACTCCTGTAGAGCTGTAACAAAATTTATAATATTTGGAACTTAGGGGAACTGAAACAAGTTTCACATAACTGGCCCAAGAAGTCCAATAATTTTCCACAAGCTTATTCTGATGAACAGATACAGCATTGAGCACAAAGTTATCTAAAGTTAAGTTCAACCCTGGGTAATGCTATCGTCAATGCTGCCAACATCGGATGCTTTTGCATTGACAATAGATGGAAATGTAGCCATCTTTTCTCTTTCGCTTTTAGAGTTACAGTAAATGATGCTGGGAGGGGGGATGTGAATGAGAGTCCAGCTAGATATAACAACACTAAACCTAACGTGAGAATCAAGGTTATTGAGCCCAGAGCTGATAAAGAATTAGCGGGCTGGAGAGCTGGAGAGGAAACCAGCGCTTCAAGCTAATTGGGGAATGTGATTTATGACTGTTAATTGGAGGAGGGAATTGTGCTTTGATACTATGTGCCCAGGGGAGGGGAATTCATTTTTTGGCTTCGATTATGCAGTGCCGATGTTATGCAATGGTCATAAATGTGAACCAGTTGCCAAGCATCTGAATTTTGATCATATGCTCATGGGGATGCTGCAAAGGTCATAACTGTGAAAAACGGTCCTAAGTCACATTTTTCAGTGCCGCTGTAACTTGGAATGGTCACTAAATGAACTGTTGTAAGTCAAGGACTCAGGAGTCTAACTATCCTGTTCTTCATTCAGTTGCATAAATTGGTCCCTGATGATGCTTTTTCGGTGCACCAAGGGAAGCAAGCATTCAGCAATAAACAAAGTAATGAAGTGGTTCCTTAAACACTTTTTTTTACCTTTTTTACCACACTTAGTTTATCTGGGGCATGGTCAAAGAGTGTGTCAAAGGCATCTCGTTCTGGTTTAGGAGAGAAAAAGAAACGCTTTATTAAACTGACTGTTAAAATGCTGAGAATTCAATGGAAAGAATTATACATAATGATTTTTATATACAGCACAGCATAAAATGAAAACATGACTAAACATAATGAATTTATCTAAAAGGAAGATGGTTTTAAATTTAAGATGGTATTGTTTTCTAAAAGAACAAATAAAAGTAAACACAAGACAAAAATATCATATGCTACCTTGTTTCCCAACCAAATCCCGTGGATTTTTCTTCCTTATAAATATGTACATCTCTCTATAAGTAAGACTATACTTCTATATGTGTACAATGTGTATAGAGAGATATGTGGACATAGATATGTGTCAGAAGCCACAGGCCCACAAAACAGCAGACAGCAGGAAAATAAATATCTACTTGAATCAACAACCACTGGTTAAATTTAGCTGCCTGTAAAATGTAACATCCCATTTATGAAAGTAATTCATTCTACAATTGCAAATAGCAGTCATTCTCTTGTACACACAAACCGTTCTCATACATAAAAGCACAAAACTACACAGATACACACACACACACATACACACTCCAGGAACCCTTATCTTCCTATTGGGTCAACATAGCATCCTACTTTTATCAGGATTTGACTATTAGCAGAACAAAGTTTTAATCCAGTGTTTCTCAACCTTGCCAATTTTAAGATATGTGGATTTCAACTCATAGAATTCCCCAGCCAGCATGCTGATTGAGAAGCCCAGAAATTAGAGAAAATGGAAGGATGCAACAGGGAAGACCAGCAGGACTTTGTCCCCAGCTTCAGCAAAGGTCTGGACCAAGGGTCTTCAAACTTGGCCCTTTTATGACTTGTAGACTTCAACTCCCAGAATTCCTCAGCCAGGCATGCTGGCTAAGGAATTCTGGGAGTTGAAGTCCGCAAGTCATAAAAGGGCCATGTTTAAAGACCCCTGGTCCAAAGTCACCCAGCTAGCTTTCATGCCTAAGGCGGGACTAGAACATAAAAGAGCCAAGTTTGAACACCCTTGGTCTGGACTGAGCAAAACTACAGCCAACCTAGACACAAAATGCTTAATGCAGAGGTGATAATGATAAATATTTCATATCGTTAATCATAATAAATTTGAAGAGTTTTTAAGCCACTATTTAAGCTACAATTTCACTTGGCATCTTGCTCTCGAGATACTTTTATTTTCCAAGTTTAAAATCTTTTACTTACCAAACCTTCCCATCATCATTCTGGAAACAAGAAGTTTAAACAAAAAGTTAATGACTTTCTAAATGTTCATAGTTCTTAAGTTTTTTTTTTTTTCTTGATATGATGTTTCTAGCCTGCAGAGTTTTTCAAGCCAGACAGAATTGCTGTCCACACTGCCGAGGGCATTTTTCTCTGATTGGTTCTACAAAATTCTAGAACAAATTTTAACTCCCCCACCCATATATCATCCCCCAGCACAACATGGAATGACAGTATGAATTTCCAAGGACTTTTTTTGCTTCCATTGACATCCATTTCTGACCCTCTCTAATCTCTATGTCTTATGGCAGGAAATGGTCTGTTTTGCTGCCTGAATGGTGAGAGAGCTGTCCTGAATTCCCACTCACAATGATGGAGAGATTTCTTGCCCCACCATGCCATTTCTTCCTCTGAAAGGGAAGAGTTCAGGATCGGGAATTTCAGAAACCAGAGTCATCCCAGACAGGTACCAGGAAAGAGCTTGGAAATATATGTATATATGTATGTATGTATTTTTTAGGTTGCTAACAAAGAATAAAGAGAGAATGGTATAGCTATTTCGAGTTCCTTTAACTCTCTTCAGCCAAACTTACTCTTCTGAGATTCGAACCTGGGCTATCTGCATGTTAGGCAGATGTTATAACCTCTAAGCCACAGGCTCTCCTCACTTTGTCAGCTGTATCAGGAAAGAGACAGGGGGAGGAGATTTTTACCTTGAATGAACACCCTGTCAGCCCAAATATGGGAGAAAGAAATCTTCTTTCTTTTCTTTTCTTTTACCTGTATCAGCTCAGTATACTGTATCAGTATGTATGTATGTATGTATGTATGTATGTATGTATGTATGTATGTATGTTTGTTTTGGAGAAAGGACACAACTAAAAAGGAGAATATATACCACAATCTGTTCCTTCTCCAAAAGAGAGGAGCAATAGGCTACGGGAGCCAGAAGAAAGAGTCCATGCTGGAATTCATAGCAGGACAAAGGGACAATACTTGTGAGGAAAGCCCTTTTCTGCATACTTAAACCACCCTTTCAGCTTCCATCAACACTGGTTCCAATTGAAGTTCTTCCCTGACTGCTTTGGGAATCAACCTTGGCTATCCAGGAGAGCAGCACCCAGACACCAGGAAAACTCATGACCTCTTCTTTGGATCAACCTGCTGCTCTGGAACCCACAGGAAGACCTGGAACCTCACTATCAGCAAAGAAGCCCTTTATGTGTTTAAACTGCTCCTCTCAGCTTTCCTTTGGCATTAAAGCTGCTTTGCCTATTTACTTAGGGCAGGGGTCTTCAAACTTGGCCCTTTTATGACTTGTGGACTTCAACTCCTGGAATTCCTCAGCCAGCGTGCCTGGCTGAGGAATGCTGGGAGTTGAAGTCCACAAGTCATAAAAGGGCCAAGTTTGAAGACCCCTGACTTAGGGTAACTTCTAGCAACTTCATCGGGAAATCAGGACATACCACACCAGGGGATTTAAACCCGCATCCCACATCAGCCTCTGCAACTTGAAAAATTACTTTGGAGGTAGTGAGGATCATGACCAGCGAGGCCAGACTGCTGAGTGACACGCAGACAGGGACTGCAGGAAACAACCCAGGAGAGGAAGTGATCGATGATGGTGACCTGGCTGAGAAGATCACCACAGTCAGCACCTCAAGGGTGCCACCCAGTGGTGGGACTCAGCCACACCACTTCGGCAGCTAATGTTTTGTTGCCTAGGCTAGGGGTAGGCAACCTTGGCTCTTTTATGACTCGTGGACTTCAACTTCCAGAATTCCTGAGCCAGCCATGCTGAGGGGAAAGGGAGAGGTTTCCAAGCTGAGCCATACTGGCTCAGGAATTCTGGGGGTTGAAGTCCACGAGTCATAAAAGAGCCAAGATTGCCTACCCCTGGCCTAGGCCCAGAATGGACTTCCGGAAGTGGCATCCACACAGAGAACCGGTTGTTCACATATTTGAATCCCACCACTGGTGCCACCCCGGGAACCTTCCCAATTCTGCCAGGAAAAAAAGGAAGAACAAGCTCTGGGAGACGTGAAGGAGAGAAGGGAAACTGAACAAGGAAAAGAGCAACAGGAAGTAAGCTCTCTCTCTTCTGCATGGAGAGGGAGGAAAAGAGCAAGGCTGGCAGATCTTTGCACAGTGTTTCTCAACCTTGACAATTTTAAGGCATGTGGACTTCAGCTCCCAGAATTCCACAGCCAGCATTGCTGGCTGTGGAATTCTGGGAGTTGAAGTCCACATGCCTTAAAATTGTCAAGGTTGAGAAACACTGTCAGGATAGTGAGTCTGTTTATTTACTGTCCCTGGAATGCTTTTTTTGTTGTTGTTTTTTGGACCCTTGGTATGTGCGATATATACAAGTAGTCTTCATTTAGCAACCACAGTTGAGACCAGCAACTCAAGAGTGGTCACTAAGCGCTTGTGCTTATCTTACTTCAGCTTTGCTCTGCCTTTTCTCTTTGGAGAAAAGAAATGATATAGGTGAAAATAGGTTGCAAAGTTATTTTTTCGTCACTGTCATAACTGCAAATGGTCACTGGAGGATGCGGTTGCTGAATGAGGACTAAACTGTAATTGCTTTGGTGTATCAGTATTGGTAATCAGTGTTATTGAACGTTTGGGGGACTGAGTGGGGTGTCTGCTTTTTAATGCTTACTTAAGCCACTTAGAGCCACTGTTGTGAGATGGGTGGATAAATGAATTGCCTAAATAAAATCAATAAATATTACAATTATTAAAGAGAGACTCCCAATAAGAGGATAAAGAAAGTGAGGCTTTCTGATCTGATTCCAAAGAATAATTCTATGTGCCAGCCAAAATGAAGCAACTCAACTTTGTGCACACAGCAATAAAAACACAGAGCTTACTCAGTTGTAGTAGTGATCTCCTCAGTCACATGGGCCGTCTGAAGTAACCCTTCTCGCTTCTGGAAGAAAATCAGAGTCAGGGCTAGTGAAAAGCTAAAAGAACTAACTGAAGAAGTGCATGGGAATGAAACCTTACAAAAAAGTGAGTGTGATATTTTTGCTAACTAGAGGAGCAGAATCAGAGAAGGGTCAGTTCTCCTTTTTCTCAAACCAATAGAAATAATAAAAGTGTGAAACCTCTCTGAAGGCAGGAGACAACCTAACCAGATACACTTTCCTGCCTTTAGCAAAAAGAAAATGAAAAAAAATTGCACCCACATCTGGACAAACTTTAGATGAGACAATCACTTAAACTTGAACCAGCAGTGTGCAGCAGCAAAAAAACCCAGTCCCTGGTTGTATATACATAGAATCAAAATCACGTGAAATATTAGTACTGCTTTATAAATCCTTAGTAAGACCACACCTGGAATACTGCATCCAGTTTTGATCACCACGTTACAAAAAAGATTGACTTAGGAAAAAGGGCAAAGGAGAGCAAGAGGTTTTCCCGCGGACTGGAGGGGACGTAGTTTCGTGTGCTGTCTGCATCCTGCGGGTGGGGTTTCACTTATTTGTGCAGCCCAGTTTTTGGCATGCTGCAGCCCAGTGCCAGCCCACAGACCAGGGGTTGGGGACCCCTGCTCTACTGGATCAAACCAATAGCAATGGGCACTACTGGCATTGTCTACATTTTAAAAATTGTGTTTTTTTTAAACAAATCAATTTGAAGTGAGAGTTTATTACATTTTTTTTCTTTTTACAGTACCACATAATTTAATTACACATGCATGAAAAGCTTAACATCTTTCTTGGGTACCTACCTTTACAACGACCACTTGCACAGAAACATGTTCAGGGAGCCGAATAGTAGCCCGGAAATGCATAGCCAGAGCTACCAGCAGGTGGAGGATGGACACCAGGTTCTTGCCATGGATCACTGAAGAAAGAAACCAAGAAATCATCAAGGCAAGTTTTGAATGGGCTGGGCTGTCTTTAGATGGGAGCCTATTTAATTCCACTCCAGGAAACTCTTGCTTGTCTGTGTCTGTCTGTCTGTCTGTCTGTCTGTCTGTCTGTCTGTCTATCTGTCTATCTATCTATCTATCTATCTATCTATCTATCTATCATCCATCTATCTACCTACATTTTAAGAAAAAGAATAAAAACTAACAAGAACTATTAATTAGAATAAAGAGAGAAGAAAAGGAAAACAAATAAGGAAAGAACAAGCTAAAAGTGCAGAAAAAAATATAAAAGTGTAAATTAACCTCTTACCTTAGGATTACATTATTACATTTTTTATAATGCCTATTTTTCCCTAAACATCAAAAATGTACATCATACTTTCATTTTTTTTCTGTATCATGCAAAAAGTCAATAAGGGTTTTCCAATCAGCATGAAATTTAGAGAATGTCTTAAAAAGCTGCCAACTGACCATCTCAGCAAGTTCTGTTATTTTCATCATCCATTTGTCCATTGTGGGTAAAGATGAGTCTTTCCCCCTTAGAGCATATAATCCAGGAGTGTCAAACTCAATTTCACTGAGGGCCGCATCAGCATTGCGGTTGCCCTCAGGAGGCTGGGTGGGTGTGGTCAGGGTGGGTGCGGCCTACTGGGTGGGCGTGGATGGTATGGGTGTGGCCTACTGGGTGGGCGTGGCCAGCTCTACATCATTCGCGTCAAGGGTGCCTGTGGGGGCCTGGGCAGGAGTGAGACAGATCTGAGGGTCTCTAGCAGAAGGGAGTGGGACCAGGGCAAGTGCCAGGGCATGGTCCACTGGAGGAGCCTCACTGTTCCTCTCAGGCCATGTGGGGGGGAGGGCTTATGGAGCTAAGACTGAATGCGTTTCAGCATAGATGGCTACCACAAAATTGTACATTGGCTCCCAGCTGGCCTGGGCCAGGGCCAAGGCAGCGGGGGCCGTTCCTTCACTGTTTCCAGGTTGCCTTCGCGGGCCACATGAAACCACTTCGCGGGCCGCATCCGGCCCCCGGGCCTTGTGTTTGACATGTCTGATATAATCATTTCACTGCAATTGTCATATCCAAAAGTAAATCCAGAAAAATCTTTAGAAAGCCTCTCTTTTATCACAACCTGTGGGGTCCTCCCACCCTTGCTGATGCCGTCTAATTGGAAGGAGCTTTATTCGTTCAGACCTTATGTCAAAACCATAAACCTGCGGGTTTTTTTCATTTTGGCCCAAATTTGGGAAGGGGAAAGAGATGCCTCATTCTGCCTCTTCCATCTCTCCTTTTGGATCTCCTTTCTCCTGCTGCTCCCTGGCCACAGCCAAGCCCATTTCTTCAAGGCAACCCAACTCCCTACGAAGGTGTCTTTCAAATTTGGCCGTGGGGCGCACACGCCCAGCCTCCGCCATCTGGGGCTGATGACTACTTTGAACATGAGAAGGCAGCCCAACAGGACCAAAGAAAAAAAACAGAAACTAGGATGGCGACCCTTTCTGCAAAACCCTATTGCAGGGTTTCCCAACCTCAGCAGCGTTAAGATGTGTGGACTTCAACTCACAGGATGCTGGCTGGGGAATTTGGAGGGGGGGGGAGTTGTTTATTAAATGTATTTGCTGCCCATCTTGTTTCGAAGCAAGTTAAAGTTACCAAGGTTGGAAACTCACAACTTTTGTTGTCAAAGTTGGAAACTCTACTCTATGGAACTCAGTGACACTGGCTTCCAGATAAATGCGTAATATTGAGCTGGCAAGAAGTGGGCTCCAGTTGCCTATCCCAAGTGCTTCCCTTAGCCAACTGCTTGGGAATAAAATTGACAGCAAAGGACACATTGCCAAGATCTCAGCCTTTGTGCCACTGCATAAGACAGCCTGCCTCTGAATAGGAATGCTTCCGTGAAAGTTCATGAGTGTTGTGAATCAGTTGGCTTTCCCATTAAATATCACATGAACTCCAAGAACCAGATGGTCCAAGCTCAGTGTCCTTTCTTCTAGATAATTTGCGGTAGGACAAGGCAGTAGCACCCCTTCCCACTCTTTCGCCAATGCAGGTGCTATTCTGAGATACAGACAGTCAGAGGTTTCCAGTAGCTGCAATGGCATAAAGCCAAGTTGTATCAGATCAGTGGCAGAAGCATGCTAATATTTATTTTTGCTACTGTGGGCATAAGGGGAGCTCTGCAGATTAGGAAAGCTGGCCAGGTCACATGTGATGAGATGTTCTAAACGTTTGCACTTTCTCAGGTTTTTTTTTTTTTATATCCATTGCCTGTTAAAAGATCTGGATGAATTTAAAACAACAAAGCACTCAGATCTATTTGTCATTCTCATTCCAATGCAGTAAATCCAGACCCTCTTTCAAGAATAACCTGGAAAACACTCATAAAGAATGCAGACAAAAAAAGGAGTCCATTTATGCCAGTAAATGGGTCTAAAAACTTTATTACAGGTAATTTTTGACTAATTATAATTCAGCCCAAGAATTATGGTCCTAAGTTGATCATCATCGACACTTAAAGCAGGTCATCACATGACTGACCCAAATTTATGACCTTTTCTGCAATGATCATTAAGTGAGTGCCACAATCGTAAAGCTAAGGTACACCCACGTGTCACCTATCCTCCGTGAGCTGCACTGGCTTCCTGTGGGTCTCCAGACACAATTCAAGGTGTTGGTTATTACTTTTAAAGCCCTTCATGGCTTAGGACCAGGTTACTTACAGGACCGCATACTGCCGCATAGTTCCCAGAGACCGGTGAGGTCTCACAGATTGGGCCTCCTTCAGGTCCCATCGGCCAGATGTCGGCTGGCGGGCCCTCGGGGAAGGACCTTTTCTGTGGTGGCTCCGACGTGGTGAAATCAACTTCCCCCAGAGATTCGAACTACTCCCACCTTGCCAGCCTTTAAGAAAGCCATTAAAACTCTCCCGTTCCTGCAGGCCTGGGGTTGATGTCCCCGGGAGGGCCGGGATACGATTGGGACATGCTGTATGAATGCACTTATTTTTATTGTTATATTTATTGTTTTAATTTTGTACGCCGCCCTGAGTCCCTAGGGATTGGGCGGCATATAAATTTTATTAATAAATAAATAAATAAGACTGGAGTTTTTAAGCTATGTTATTCACAATGAGGTGTTTTTGCTAGAAACGGGAAGTGTCTTTTTTTTCTGCCAAACCATTTGTAAATCATGGTCACATGACTGTGGGATGCTACAAACAGCCTATATGTGATCAAGTTGCTGAGCGCCCAAAATGCAGTCACAGGTGAATGTGATTTGCAGCATACAGAAGTTTAGGTGTAAGTGGGGTGCATGTCAAATTCTGGAAAATGGCAGGTAGCACAAAGTCCCACCCCTTTTGTATCTGCAGGCAAAATGGGTGTGGCTTCGATCATGACTCTGCACTGCCATTTGGCAAATTTTGCTATTTTTTTCCTCCTCTACATGTGCCATCTCTCAAGATCCCATTAAAGTATTTCTTAGGCTTGAACAGAAACTCTTTGTAGCTGACATGATCCCGAGAAAAAACATATTTAATTTTTTTTAAAGCATGCTTGTAGCTTTTCTGACTAAGGTATGCTGTAAAGCAGCAGTCCCCAACCTGTGCAGCTTGGCAGTCCGGCTGGGAAGGGAGAGAGGGGAACTGGACCACACAACCAGTGGGACAGCGCACACACCCACGTGCCAGCCTGCCACTTGCATGAGTGGAGCAGCGTGCGCACATGCACGCTGGTCCGCCTCTCCCGCAGCCTGATTCGGAATAGGCCACAGCCAAGTAATGGGCCACTACTCAGAGATTGGGGACCCCTGCTGTAAGGTATAGATGAAATTTGGAATCAAAATTATGACTGCCCCATTTTAATCTGAGTGACTAAAAAGGAGGTATCCTACTATCCTGGTGAACGCCCTATTTTTTTTTACCAGTGATGGGCAGCACAGAGCCATGCTAAAAATATGCAAATACAACAACTTTATCTAATCCATATTAATTGTACAACACAGCTTTCATATGCTTTCCTTAACACTGAATGAAATAAAGGTAAGAGATGGATCCCCCTATTTAAATCTTGAAACATTGAGATATTGCCAGCAATAGTGCTTCAGCGCTCTTTGGGGTTATCTTTTACTCCCTGGGACCTCCAGAGTGGAAAACAATCCATTATGCTTTTCAAAGCCCGATGCTTACGGTCTACACTCCATTTGATCGTCCAGCCGTGGGGTCGAAGTAAATCATAGACAGCCTCCAGTACAGTCTGCAATTTCTGTTTCTGTCCAATTTCAGACTGTGTCACTTCAGCCACATTTAGTTTACGACCAGCTAGCTTTTCTAGATTGAAAACACAGATAAGCAGAAGATTGTTCAGGGAAGGCAGGAGTCTTTACGAAGGCCTTTGCAACAACTTTGGCCCTACAGGCAGTCCTCATTTATTGACCACTCGCAGTTATGACAGTGAGGAGAAAGCAACCACGCAGTCAATCCTCACATTTGCAACCTTCCCAGGGAGATAAAACCAAAGGAAACCTGAAGTCAAACTGTAACCACAGTCACAAGCACAGTTTATTAGTGACCGTTTCACAAAGCGACAGAGTTCCAGGTCCCAATTGTGATTGCTATAGAGGAAAGTTAGGACACCTAGAAACAGATGTACATTTGCAAATGTTATTATTTAAGTTTTTGAAATAAGAGCTTCATTTGCTAACATTCAAGCACTGAGCAGTCTGTATTAGTTTGAATTATGCAAGTAAGGACATTCACAAGGCATGGTACTTTCCATTATGTGATGATTCACAAAGTGAATCTGTAATGACACCTACACTAGTCAACTTATATATATACAAATTTTGATACCCTGATGATTTGGCCAGCGGTACAGGAAAAACACTTGGAGGTGGCAGGCAAGTCCTGTCCAAGGGTTTTAAAATCTTAGGAAAATTATTCACTGTCTGGAGGTTCACTTCTAGCACCAACAAAACATAACTACATGCTTCCACTTTAACAACAAACTAGCATATGAAGCCCCAAAAGATTACTTTAAAAAACGACGTACTGTACTCCCCTATAATCCCCATCTAAAGTACACTGGAGTAATAGCGCACTGGACTCTCTCCTATAAGATGACCCAGAGAATACAGCAGCAAAAATCAACACTAGGAACAACATAGTCCAGAAATAATGTGGAACTAAATGGGCTGCTTCAGCTGCCACCTTCAGGTCACCAGCCTTAGGGTTGATCTACTCCACAGCAGAATACTGTGCCCCTGCATGGCGTAACAGCAGCTGGCATATTGGTAACTTAGACGCCAGAATCATTGACATCATGAGGATTATAAACGGGTGTATTAAAACCACTCCAATTTGCTGGCTTCCTATTCTGAGCTATATATCACTGCCAGTTTTACGAAGGCAAGATGCACTAATGAAAGAATACAGAAAAATTAGGAACAAGTCACTGCCAACCTTTCTCATTTATCAACTGGAAGACTCAAATCCAGGAATCCCCCACTTGCACAACATCTGCCCAACAACGTTAACATCGATTCCCAATAGAAATCAAATGGGTTGCTGAATGCCAGATACAGGAAGACATATAAGTGACTCCACACAAAGGTGCCTTTGAACTACCATGTCAGCAATGGGCAATCCTGAAGAGGAGTCACACTTTGCACGGCATCTGCTGGGACTTTCTGTATAAATGGGGCATTGTATCCTCTCCCAGTGTGACTGTAGGGTCTCACGTCAAACTGTAGATCACATTGTGACTGGATGTAAGCTGAGGGCATATATCGGTCCAGTATCCGATTGATAAACAATGCTGCGCTTCAATGGTCAAATGGCCTAGACCAGCTGAAGTTGAAATCCACGAGTCATAAAAGAGCCAAGGTTGCCTACCCCTGGCCTAGACATTGGTATTTGAACATAGATCTTTTAAACATTTATATTGTTTTACTAATCTAGGTGAAATGTTAATATATATTGCTACTCAATATATGATATGCCATACGCTAAATAAGTAAATAAACTACAATTCTCCTCCAACAAGATTTATCCAATGCCAACTTGGTTCTCTTCTGTCTCTTTGCACACCTTCTGCTACTTTTACACTTGAGTGCCATCACCCCATCCAGTTCACATGGGAACCATCTCATTTCAAGAACCACTTTGTGCCTTTATCTTCCTACATAGCTTCATTCTTGAGAATATTCCACACATTACAAAAGCTTAAATCTTTCCAGAACAAAGTCTCTCGACTTTATGGTTTGCTTTAAGTGGACATTTGTGCTGATTTTCACATAAATATTTGCCATAAGATATATGTAGAGGAAAGTAAAATAACCAGTCCCTGAGCTAATATGGTTAGTCGTTCACTGATGTGGTCTCATTGCCTTAAAAGGAGCTAATAAATGACTAAGCTTGTTTGCCAAGTCCCTGCCCCTCCTTCAAGGACCTCAGCATAGGATCACTTTCAAGTCTAGTGAAGAAGCTTGGATTCGACATGATCATTGCCAAAGGCCATTTCATACAGGAACATGTCAAAATTTAACCCTGACTTTGCTTTATCCAGGCCAACTCCTTATCCACCATTTTCACACATAATACCTCACCTAGCAATTTCTGTAGCACTTGCCCATCATAGACATCTTCTTCAAGCTGTTTGACAATTATCCTTTCTTCAACCAGGACGTCATTTATCCAGTCAATCAAGACCTGGATAATGATGAAAGAGGAAAGAAATTATTCAAGTCATCTAAATCAGTGGTTCTTAACCTGGATGATATTACCCCCCAGGGGGCGATTTCATTTTTCAGGGGGGCAATGGAACAAAAAGGGGTGACATGGGGGCGAAGGAACATAAAGGGGGCGATATGAGGGCGATGGAGCGAGAAGTTTGGGGGACACTTTTGAGACTTTTTCGTACAATGAATCGCTTTGTATCTGCCATACAAAAACATCAGATCGCTCGCTATTAGTGGATTGAATTGTGTTTTCAAATGTTCCTCCAGCTAGCTTCAGTACAGAACGCCGTACATATGTGAATACGCATCGCTTATCTTCATGCGCATTGCGTAGCAGCCTCTACCCATACAGTGGCACGCCATTGGCCAGAATATGGGAGATATGGGGAAAAGACTGGAAATAAATTATTTGCATCGATATGTGCTGCCTGATGACAATTTTAAAGAAAACAAAAAAAGTGTTTGTATAAATTGAAGAATTATTTCCTATATTGTGATTGAGAGGTTATGTTGGGGGAGGGGGGCGATGACAACTTCCTCATTGGCTCAAGGGGGCGATTCGTTCAAAAAGGTTAAGAACCACTGATCTAAATAATACTGTGAGGAAAGCAACTGAATATAGATAGCCTTCAAGTTACAACAGTTCATTTAATGACTGTTCAGTTACATTGGCATTGGGAAAAAAAGTGATTTATGACCATTTTTCAGACTTACAACCTTTATAGCATCCCCATGAACACGTGATCAAAATTCAGATGCTTGGCAACTGATTCATATTTATGACCGTTGCTGTGTCCCAAGTTCATGGGATCCTCTTTTGTGACTTTCTGACAAGCTAAGTCAATGGGGAAGCCAGATTCACTTAACAACCGGGTTACTAACTTAACAACTGTAGTGATTCACTTAACAACTGTGGCAAGAAAGATCATAAAATGGGGCAAAGCTCACTTAACAAATGTCTCACTTAACAACAGCAATGTTAGGCTCAATTGCAGTTGAGGACTACCTGTATTGCTTTTAATAGCCACAAAACTATTTAGAAATTTGATGTGTTTATATTATTTTGTATATTTAACCTTTTATTGTTTAATTGTCTCATAAAGTCAGACTAATTAATCTAGACTGATAAATTACATAATACTGATATAAATACAGTAAATAGCACTAACTAAACAGCCTATGTATGATTAATATTGATATAAATCCTTATTTTTATTTTTGCAAATAATAAAATTTTAAAAGGTTTTGTGCACTTTAAGAATGGTAACAATGGGAAAAATTATGGACTAAATCTGTACCACTTATGCCAAGTTACAACTTAGTAGAAAATTTCAAAAATGTTCTACAGATGGTATATAAATTCATCAATAATAATATCTAGAGAGAAAATCATACAGTAATTGCTGGAAATGTCATAAACAAAAGCAAGATTTTATCATATGTGGTAGAGGTGTAAAGTACTGGAAAGTTATACATATTACAGTGAAAAAATGGACTTTATATTTGAAATGAAACTGCATTTTTATCATATATAAATTTTAAGAAAAAAAAACATCCTGAAATATTGAAATTTATTGAGATATCTCCTCATATGCTTCATGTTCCTCTTCCCCTTCCCCGCATCTTTTTATTTATTACTATTATTTTTTCTTTATTATTTTAATGTGTAGTACTTTTAATGTTTGTAAGCCATCCACAATCATCTTTGGAGAAGACGGGTGGCACATAAATTTAATAAATAAATAAGTAAAATGACAATTATTGAGGATGAAGGTTCATTCTCTGAGCTGGTGGGTTGGTTTCTGAACATCTTGTTACCAGGCTAGGAAACATCTTCAGTGGAGTTTAGAGGATGTCAGTTTTGGTGTTCTTCTGTTTATAAGGGCTTGAGGTGTGGGTGTGTCAAGTGAGGGTCTTGTGATGGGTCAGTTGACAATTATTTGAGTGATGCTTCTTCACAAAAGGAATTCTATCAAGGAATGTACAGAGTAATCTAAAGGTGGACCGAACGCTGATGTGCTTAAGTAGGGGTGCCCAGGTGGCAGGTGTTTTGCAAGGGGGTGGGTGCAGCTTCACAACTAAAGCTCTGCCTCTTGGTACAAAAAAAGTGAGGCTTCAAATAGGATTTCACATCCACAATCTTGCAGATTTTGATCACATCCTGTGGACACCGTGGTTGTTAAACCTTCAATCCATTTTCCTGGACTGACTAGCAAAACATATCGTTGTCATCCCGGAAGATGGCTATCATTTTTTACGGCATTTTTCATCCAAACATCTATCTACTTGATATGTCCAGTATTTCCCCACTCAGCATTCTGTATGCATAAGATTTTCTTGCTGGGCTGCCCCCCCAACCAAGTGAGATTTCCTCTGCAATACACCAACCTACAACTTGCTCTGTAAATCAACAGAGAAGAAAGTACAATATTTCCAACATTGGCACAATAAACATAATGTAGTATGCCTTCAACCACAATTCAATTTCCTAAATCTCTCCACAAATAAATACAGGAGGAGATCTACCACATCTCATCTCTTCCCAATATTAAGAGAAGGATGGAGAAATAATAAAGGTGGCATTTCTGAAAATACTAACATGCCAAATCAGATAATATTTTTAACTTACGTTTTTGAATCAAGGATTTCTTGCCTGTCGGATTTTAGTCCTATTGTTCATTCTTTAAGGCACGGTCATGATTTTTCTTTTTTCTTTTTAATGTATCGTACTAAGCTTCCTTCTTAAATAAAAATGTGGACACGAAATACAGTGGATTTACTGCCTAAAATTTATTACTTTATAGTGGCTTCTCCTGTGATAGTTTCTCCAAATGTGTTTTCTAGGGAGACATTTTCTAGCAGTCATTTTCCTGTACTACCAGCTACCAGAAATGCAAAATCAAAACACTTTCATTTTAAGGTAAACTACATCAAAGAAAGGCAAACCTCTGCGTTGAAGCATTCCTCACCTTGATAAGTTCTTTAAACTTGGCATCCTCCTTTGAAGTGGGATCTATCATGGTACGTTCTTCATTTTCCTCTGGCAATTTCAAAAAGAAGCTCTTCGTTAAAGCCATCATGGCACAAGCACAAGCACGTTGTTTCAGAAATTGCTATTAAAAGACATCAGCTGCCATCTGATTTATAAATGGCAAAAACTAGTTATCTCATCAACCTGAAAAGGAATCCAATTATCTTAATTGGGTATGGATAGTCCAGAGAAAAGAAGGACATGGGATGAACATTGACTGCAGTATTCCAGTATTTGAGGAGCTGCCACAAAGAAGAGGGGGTCAACCTATTCTCCAAAACATCTGAAGGTAGGACAAGAAACAATGAATGGAAACCAATCAAGGAGAGAAGTAACCTGGAATTAAGGAGAAACTTCCTAACGGAACAACAGAACAATTAATCAGTAAAACAGCTTCCTCTTCAGAAGTTGTAGGTGCTTCATCACTGGAGGTTTTTAAAGAAAAGACTGGATAGCCACCTGTCTGAAATGGTATAGGGCAGGGGTGTCAAACTCAATTTCATTGAGGGCCGCATCAGCACTGTGGTTGCCCTCGAGGGGGTGGGGGTGTGCGGCCTACTGGGTGGGCATGGATGGAGTAGGTGTGGCCTACTGGGTGGGTGTGGCCAGCTCTACATCATTCGCGTCAAAGGTACCTGTGGGGGCCTGGGCAGGAGTGGGACAGATCTGAGGGTCTCTGGCAAAAGGGGGTGGGACGGGGCAAGCGCCAAGGCATGGTCCATTTCTTCATTCCTCACAAAGGGTGACACTTCCCCAGCATGCACCCAGGGGGCGGGGCCGACACAGCAGGGGCTGGTTCCTCGCTGTTTCTGGACGGCCTTGTGGAGCTAAGACTGAATGCGTTTCAGCATAGATGGCAACCACAAAATTGTACATTGGCTCCCGGCCGGCCTGGGCCAGGGCAGCGGGGGCCGTTCCCTCACTGTTTCCAGGATGGCTTCGCGGGCCACATGAAACCACTTCACGGGCCGCATCTGGCCCCCAGGCCTTGTGTTTGATATGTCTGGTATAAGGTCTCCTCCTTGAGCAGGGGATTGTACCTCTAAGGTCCCTTCCAGCTCTATTCTAATTGATTGATTGAAAAAGGCACTGCATGAAGGGTTACATTGTGTTGGTGAACAGGACATGTTGGTGAACTGGGCTTTCAGATCCTGTGGTATGTAACATTGGGTTGCTTGCAGAAGACTTGACCTTTGTAGTTCTCAAACAGGGAGGAAGCAAAGAGAGAATAAAAATTCATCCTCTTTCTCCAGTCATACTTCTATAATAGATACTAGCTTGTATTTTTACTCAGAATTAATTACTGGATTAGACTCGTATCAGGGTATGGCTCAGAAAGTACTTAATCTAAATCCAAAGGAAGTTGTGCAAAACTCACACATTTTGAAAATAATTTCAACTTTGGCTAGCTCTAATTTAGATGATCTTTGTTCCAGATCTGGGTAATGTCAGCAATAAAAAAATAATTTTGGATTGCATGTGTGGGGGGGAAAGCATATGGATACATCAGTTCTTCTATTAATGAACTGTTAATTTTACTTCAGAAATCTCATGTTGTTTAACAACATTTCAGCTAGAGAGAGGATCCTGGAGCATCATATCATCGGTCCTTTCCAATCAGCCACACAGAAAACAAAACTCTTTTGTTCACATCACAAGTCTGTGATGTTGCATTCATACATACCCAGTAATGTATCTTCTGGATGAAGATCAGTTGTAGCAGGAGACATCGGTGCATTGATAGCATTTTTTCCTTCTTCTTGCAAATCAGACACTGAAAGAACGGAGAGGCCCAAAATATTTCATAATGGTATATAGCTTAAAATTTGATTCACTTCTACCAGGAGCCAAATGCTTTATTATAGATTGTATTTTTCTTTGCTTGGATTGAATGGGCTGCCTAAAGTTATGCTAAACACCCCCCCTTTTAGGGTAGCCGTACTCCATAACCAGTGCTTTTTTTGTAAAAAAAAAAAAAAAAAAAAAGGTGCTGGAACTCACACATATCATACAACCCACCTTGCCTACCCTACAAGGTTCCATCCAAAAAAGGTGCCGGAACTCCGTTCTGGGCGTTCTATGACAAAAAAAGCCCTGTCCATAACTATTCCACGATCTGAAATTTTTGAAGAGTCTTTTCCATTTTTATTTTACCTCCTTTCATTCTTCCTCAAGTGACTGTAATTAATTCAGATGATATATTGGAGAGGTAAATCAAACGTAAATCATTATGCTCTCATTTGTTGGAGAGAACTGAACATTTCTAGAATAGAACAGAATTCTTTATTGGCCAAGTGTGATTGGACACACAAGGAATTTGTCTCTGGTACATAAGCTCTCAACGTACATACAAGTAACTAGTGATAAATCATGATCATAAACATAAAATACAATCATCATAAATCATCAGATACAACACTCAGTGATAGTCATAGGATACTAAATAATCATGCTACTTCCAAGTCACATAAAATTCTTAGTATCTTTATAACTATAAAACAAGAGCAAAATTTAATCTACAAACTAAGCATGTAAGTGAGCAGCATATGAAAGTGGTAGGTATATTAAGCAGTCTGCTTTATTCCTCCAAGTTATTAAAACAATATTTGTTTTAATTTCATGTATCTTCCTCTGTTTTTACTGAAACACAATGGAAGAACTAAGAAGAAATTTCCTGACAGTTAGAACAATTAATCAGTGGAACAACTTGCCTCCAGAGGTTGTGTGTGCTCCAATACTGGAAGTTTTTAAGAAGAGATTGAACAACCATTTGAACAAGGGTTGGATTAGAAGACCTCCAAGGTCTGGTCTATCCTATCCTATCCTATCCTATCCTACTCTACTCTTTCCTATTCTACTCTGAATAAGCCACAGCATAGTCTTTTATTTTGCTACTCAATCAATTTTAAGAGCAAAAGACTATTAACAATATAAGAGTCTCAAATGCTAAATGATTGAGAATTGTAATTAGTAAAACAGAAGTGGAGCAGCCATGCTGTAAATGCTAAAGAAAAGTCTCCCAGAAATTAGTATCCAATGATTGAACAGCAGGTTTTTGAATGACTCTTCAAAACGTGAGCCAGTTTCAAACTGGGAGCTGGATATGAAGCATTTCTGGATTCTTCAAGAATAAGACAGAGACCAATGGAGTCAATCCAGTTGGTTGCATCGGCTTTTCAACTTACTCAGCCTTAAAACAGATGCCAGATTAAATAAAAACCAGAGGCCTTGAATAAAATGGACCTTTTTGTCTTTGCTAAAGCAGCAACTATTGCGTTCCAGACAATAAAACTGCACTGAAGGAGGCCAACTCACAAAAACTGAAAACACCAGAACAAAGGTGGACTGTTTTCCATCCTGCTTGGATCCTTTTGACTCCAGCCCTGTCACCTCCAGGCTATCCTCAACTGTTTTCTTCAGAAAGAGTCACTTCTCTGCATCATTGGCTTTGCTCTCTGTCTGGATTCTACATCAGAGGCATCCTTTGGTGGAAGGGAGATCGAAAAAAGGCAGCGTTTTGGCCACAATGCATGCAAAAAAAGAGGTGAAACTTACATCACACAGTGGCAGTGCCTTCCTGATTTTTTGAATCCCCTACCTCAACCCAGGTACCCCTGTTTTATCTTCCCAGTTTTACGGTAGTACTTACCAAGGATTTCCTTTCCAACCAATTATGATTACGTAGGCTTAATTCGTTCTGTAGACACCTTCTCCAGCCTAGCACCACCCTTCAAATAAGCTAGGCTAGAGTTTCTCAGCCTTGACAACTTTAACAGGTGTGGACTTCAACTCCCAGAATTCCCTGGGCTGGGGAATTCTAGGAGTTGAAGTCCACACCTCTTAAAGTCGCCCAGGTTGAGAAATATTGATTTAGGGCAGCGGTTCTCAACCTGTGGGTCGGGACCCCATTTGGGGTCGAACGACCATTTCACGGGGGTCGCCAAACAATGCAGTCCGCCATTTTTCCCCCCTTTTCCTTAGCTGTGCTACTCCCTTTTATTCTATTGGCTTTTGAAAGCCAATAGAATAGACTCTCTTGAATAGAGTCTAATTCTATTGGCTTTCAAAAGCCAATAGGAATTGTCCAGGCTGTCTCTGCCCTGCTGAGCCCGCCAAAAGTCCCATTCTGCAAACGGCGCTGCAAGTTGTCTGCAGCGAAGGCGAGCTGTCTGGAAGCTTCCACCCTTCCCTGCTGAGCAACTACTAAAAATGTAAGGGGCCAGGGGTGGGAGGTGGGAGGCCGGCGGGCGCAGGGAGGATTGCTGGCGCGCATGGGGCCCGACGGGTGCCTTACCACCCTTGGGCTGGGCCAGCTGGTGGCCCAAGCCAGTGGTCGCCCTACACCGTCGCTGCCCCTTGCCAGCTACACCTCGGCCGGCGCAGGGGGCGGCACCACGCATGCGCGGCGCTCCCGGGCAGGGAAAGTCCTCGACTTACGATCAGTTGGGTAGTCCTCAACTTACGACCGGTTGGGTAGTCCTTGACTTACGACCGGTTGAGTAGTCCTCGACTTACGACCGGTTGGGGGTCGCGGCATTAAAAAGGTTGAGAACCACTGATTTAGACTGTAATATCATACCCTGCACAGCCACTAGCCATGTGAGAGGAGGATAATAGGAACTGTAGTGCAAGATAATTGAATGACCTGATATTACAAAAAAACTCAGTTGCCATTAATGCATTAAAGCATCCTTCAGGTCCCATCAGCCAAGCAGTGCCATTTGGCGGGGCCGCGGAGGAGGTCTTTCTCTGTGATGGCGCCCACATCTTGGAACCAGCTCCCCCCGGAGATTAGGACCGCTCCCACCCTGTTGGTTTTCCGTAAGCTGCTTAAGAACTGGCTTTTCCGGCAGGCCTGGGGTTTATAAAATCTGACCCCTGGATGACTGTTATTGTACTGTTTGTTTTGTCATGTTTTATGGTGTTTTTATTGTTAGCCGCCCAGAGTCCTGCGGGAGTGGGGCAGTTTATAAATTTTAAAAATAAATAAATAAAATAAATAAATAAATAAATTTTGCAGGTAAAAAACAGTGATAAGATTTTCTGCACTTTCTTGGAATCCAAATTGCACAGCTCCAGTTACAACTTAAAAACAGCTGACCCTAATCCATATTGCGGTACTATAACAGTGCATCATTGTATCACTTCAAACGATAATCAACATCTCTTATAATGATCCATTTTCAGCCAATTGTTGTCTCTGCATGATGTAAACAGCAGCACCCAGTATTTCCCAATGCAATCTCCATGCTCGGAAGCCGAATCAAGAATGTGGAACTAAAAATAAATCACAACACAACTATTCTCTTCTTGTTACTGTCCTAGAGTGAGTTGGGAGAGGTGGGGGAGGCAGAGAAATGCAAGTATGCTTTCTCCTCACAAGCCATTTGCACATCTGCCTAGCATGGCAAAGACCAGGCCTTATGCTAGCAGAGAAAGGCCTGGATATCTTCAAGATCTCTCTCGTGCAGCTAACATTCACTCATATCTTTTCCTACCTCCTGTTTTCTTACTTTTTTTTAACAAAGCCGAGGTGCCATACTAGCATCCGGTAGCATTAAGGTTGCCTTCTTCCGAAAGGCAGAGTTGCCAGTCCAAAGGGTAGAAACTGACCAGCAAACTTGGATTGATTTGGTCACAGTGACTCCAGAAGCAGTGGCAAATCCCAGCAGAGGCGAGGGGTGTAAAAGAAGATACCCTGGCAAGACTGAGTGAAATTCAAGAAGAATGGATGCTTTACACAGGAGCTAAATAGCTGCCATTTTCTCTGAGTGTGAACAGGACTCCTGGCTCTCAATCTTTGGAGAAGATTAACCCATTGCTCATCAAATGCCCACGACAATGGACGATACCGGACCCATCAAAACACGATACCCCAGGGAAAAAGGAAAATATGTCACAGTTGGGGGGGCATTCCTACAAAAGGCAACTGGCATTTCTCAGGGCCTCAAGCTGAGCTTAAGATCACAAAGAGGGTTACAAGACTGTCCGTGCATGGCACGTATGAAAAATTCCTGCTGGTATCTTCAGGAATTGATAGAAGGGCATGCAAAGCCAGTGGGGTTCCGGTGACAACTCATAATGAGACCATCTTGATCCATTAATCTCTAGGGCAGCGGTTCTCAACCTATGAGTCGTGACCCCATTTGGGGTCGATCGACCATTTCATGGGGGTCGCCAAGCAAGGCTGTCCGCCATTTTTTTCTCCTTTTCTGGCGGGTGCCTTACCTCCCTTGGGCTGGGCCAGCTGGTGGCCCAGCTGATAGTCGGCCTGCTCCGTCTCTGCCGCTTGCCAGCTACGCCTCGGCCGGCGACTTACAACCGGTTGGGTAGTCCTTGATTTACGACCGGTTTAGTCCTCAACTTACGTCCGGTTTAATCCTCAACTTACGACCGGTTGGGGGTCGTGGCATTAAAAAGGTTGAGAACCACTGCTCTAGGGATTATGTATCAGATTTCCTACCAGCAGATTTTGGTCCTTTTAACCCTGTCAAACATCCTGGGATTCTTAAGAAGAGCAGGATACCTAGTGAAGAAATAAAAGCTAATTTGTCTTCACCACTTCACCACATCTAACAAAATGAAATTTCAATGATGAAAAAAGTAAGGTTCTACATTTAGGGAAGAAAAACCAAATGCACAGGTATAGTATAGGTGGTACCTTGCTCAATAGTAGCAACTGTGAGAGGGATCTTGGAGTCCTGTTGGACAATCACTTAAATATGAGTCAGCAATGTGCTACAACTGCCAAAAAAATCCAACATAGTGCTAGGC